ACAGAACTGGATATGGAACAACTCATTGGTTCAAAATTGGGAAAGGAGTACGACAAGGCTGTATATTGTCCCGTGGCTTATTTAACTGATTTGCAGAATACATCATGTGAAAGGCTGGACTGGAGAAATCCCAAGCTGGAATTAAGATTGCCGGAAGAAATATCAACAACCTCCGATATGCAGATGATACCATTCTGATGTCAGAAAGTGAGGAGAAATTAAAGAACCTTGTAATGAGGGTGAAAGAAGAGAGTGCAAAAAACAGCCTGAAACTCAACCTTAAAAAAAACTAAGATCATGGCCACTGGTCTCATCACCTCCTGGGAAATTGAAGGGGAAGATATGGAAGCAGTGACAGGTTTTATTTTCTTGGGCTCCATGATCACTGCAGATGGAGACAGCAGCCACAAAATTAAAAGACGCCTGCTTCTTGGGAGGAAAGTAATGACAAACCTTGACAGCATCTTAAAAAGCAGAGACATCACCTTGCTGACAAAGGTCCGCATAGTCAAAGCTATTATTTTTCCAGTAGCGATGTATGGAAGTGAGAGCTGGACCATAAAGAAAGCAGACCGCCGAAGAATTGATGCCTTTGAATTGTGGTGCTGGAGGAGGCTCTTGAGAATCCCCTGGACTGCAAGGAGAACGAACCTATCAGTTCTAAAGGAAATCAACCCTGAGTGCTCACTGGAAGGACAGATCCTGAAGCTGAGGCTCCAGTACTTTGGCCATCTCATGAGAAGAAAAGAGTCCTTGGAAAAAACCTTGATGTTAGGAAGGTGTGACGGCAAGAGGAGAAGGGGACGACCGAGGATGAGATGGCTGGACAGTGTCTGCAAAGCAACCAACATGAAATTGACACAACTACGGGAGGCAGTGGAAGATAGGAGGGCCTGGCGTGCTCTGGTCCATGGGGTCACGAAGAGTCGGACATGACTAAACGACTAAATGATGATGAGCGTGGTGTTGGGATAAACTAAGGCAGTGGTCCCCAACCTTTTTAACCCTGCAGACCGGTTGGGGAAGGTGTGGCACCCCCCTGCTCGTGCGCATGCATGAAGGGGCAGGCGCTCATCTGGGGCACTTGCACTCTCATGTGCATGGGCAACATGGTGTTGGGATAAACTAAGGCAGTGGTCCCCAACCTTTTTAACCCTGCAGACCGGTTGGGGAAGGTGTGCCACCCCCCTGCTCGTGCGCATGCATGAAGGGGCAGGCGCTCATCTGGGGCACTTGCACTCTCATGTGCATGGGCAAAGGAGTGGGAGAGCACTCGTGCAGGTGTGGGCACTTGTACGTTTGCACGAAAGGTGATTCAACACTTGGGGGGCACTTGTGTGCATGTGCGAAGGGGTGGGGGAAGGTCTATCTCTGTGGCCTGGTCCGGCTGAGACCACGGACTGGCACCAGGCCGCGGACCGGGGGGTTGGGGACCTCTGAACTAAGGGACTAGGACTACCTTGCTTCAATTCCCTGTCTTGGCCATGGAAACTCACTTGGGGGTGGAACTGATAAAACCACATAAAAATACCGCAAGCTGACTGATAGCCGAGTAGTGTAGGTATCTGTCTGCAAAGCCAGAGGCTAGGAGTTCGATTCCCCACTGTGCCTCCTGTGAGAAAAGCCAGCCTGTGTGGCCTTGGGCAAGCTACACAGTCCCAGGGTGCCCCCAGAAGAAGGGAACAATAAATGCCCTCTATGTAGAAAACCCTCAGAAACAGTTGCCACAAGTCAGAATTGACTTGATGATTCATGATGACAATTACAATTAAAGACCTCACTAACTTTGAAAACTGTGTCAGATTGCTGCTGCTTTTGGGGAGCTGTATGAATTGATGCTCCTTCACCCTCAAAAAACCTCACTCTTGTCGTCAAAACTCCTGCTGTGATCTTGTAAAATAAAAACCTTGGTTTCTCTATTGAGTCAATCCATCTCAAGTTCCGTTTTCCTCTTCTCCTAGCATTATTGCCTTTTCCAGGGAAGTTGGTCTCCTCACGATAATTTATCCTATTGAAAATGGCTTTTTAGACAAACATGACGGTGGTGGGTTGCAAGTTACTTTGTTATTATGAATGGGTTTATTATAAAAGTAGGACTATCTGCATCAGCTTTTATTGCTACAGTGTTTCCCAACCTTTTTCCAGTAGGGACCCCTTTTTATCATAGAGTTGTTGTAAGTTGGTTTTGGCTTGATAGCACATAGCAACAATATACATTACAGTTCTTTGTTTGGATGAGATACAATTCAGTGGTGCTTCTGTAGTGGAATTTCTGTAGTATTTCTGTCATTGTCCAAGTATGTTCACAGTCCTCACATTTTTTGGGGAAGTTCCTTCCATGTCTCCCTATTATAATTTATTACACTTGTATTTTTTTCTCACAGCAAGATGAATGTTTCTCATTTATTTATAACTCTTTATCAGTCACAGGGAGTTATTTTTATTGTTTGGATTCTATATCTTAAAATACCCCAGCCAGTATGGCCACCAGGATTCGTGGAGTTGCGTTTTTTTTTAAATCCATCTCTGTTTTGCTATAAAGCTGTTTGGAAAGCCACACATAAAAAGCAAGTAACAGAAACATGCTGTTTAAAATATTTGAGACCGCTTTAAAAAGAAAGGGGGGGGGAAATGACACAAATTACAAACAGGAGCATTCGTTTGATTAATAAACAACACCTATTTCGACATCTACAATTAAGAAATTCTAGAGTGGTAGCAATGACCAGATAGGTGAAGTATAAATAGAATACAGTAAACAGAATGAATGAATGAATGAATGAATGAATGAATAAAATAAAATAAAATAAAATAAAATAAAATAAAATAAACACACCCATAAGGTGGAACCAAGATTCCACAAAATCGTTTCCACCCGAGTCACCCCTGGTTCCCAAGCCTGGGCTAGCTATACAGTATTTATTTGACCAAGGCCGGCCGCGAGCCCGCCCCTTCTGGACTACAAGCCCCAGAAAGCCGGGGCACTGCTTTTAGCCAATCATCGGCGACCGTCTTGGCGCTCGGGCTCCTGGGATCTGTAGGAGACGG